ATCAGCCATTTTAATAGAAACCAGAAACAGAAATGCAGTTATACCAGCAGAGACACTGCCAGTTTGGGCCAAAGGGAACAGAGTCAGGATGAAGTAAAGAAAGGCTTTTGGACATCTGCGGTTCTCTAGGCCAGAACAATAGAGCAACTGGGCGTGCATTATCCTTCAAGGAGCCGGAAGAATGACCCCGAAGGTGATTCAGAGGTCAGCAGGGCTGCCAGTCCCACTACAGGCCTAGAGCATACTGGCCTAGAGGGCAGGGCTCTTTCTTTCTTGGTTTCAGAGGGTGGGTCCCCCTCCTGGTTTCTGGGGGCCAGGCTTCCCTGGCCTAGTGCCTCCAGGGACAGGGCTACAGCGAAAAGCCATAGGGGTGGGGCTGCTGCAAAGCTGAGGGGACAAGGCTACTGCCTAGGGCCATGGGGGTGACACTACTGCCCCAGTGAACCTGGAAGGCAGAGCATCCAGCCAGAGGACTATTCTAGCGCTTGAGGATTCAGTGGACCAACCAAAGAATTTATATACATATATGTATAACCAATGGATATAGACCATAGTGTGGTGAAGGCCTGGGGTGAGGAATATGATGAACTGTGTCCCCCCAAGTTCCTATCCCAGTGTGACTGTGTTTGGAGAAAACAACCTTTAAAGAGGTGATTGACCTTGGGCAAATTAGCCTCTCAGGTCTGTTTTTCTCATCTGTAAAGCAGGATACTATTAGTACCTGTTCTAGGAGATCATTGGGCTAATTAAGAGAGATGATATATGCAGAGTTCCTGGCACACATTAAAAGACAATACAAGGTAATTCTTTTCCTAGATTAATTAAGTGAATGGATGTAAAGTGCTGAGGACAGCGTGCATCACTTAGTAAGGGCTATGCCGGCCTCAGTTTAGTTATTTCCTATTCCAGCAGAAACTATGCCCTCTTAAGACTTTCATCCTAGCCGTCCAACTTCCAGTTCTCCCGTGACGCGCCCCTGGCCTTTCGGCCTGGCCGGTTCCCGAGGCAGCTCCCCTGCCTGGGGCTCCAACCCCCCGCCCCGCCCCAGCTCGGATGCCTTCTCCTCGGGGGATCCCCTCTTCTCCACGCCCTCCTCCCGGTTGGAGGGAGGGAAAGGCTCCTGGATTTGGGTCCTGCTAAAAAAACAACCCCAGACAGCGCCTAGCTCTTGCCTAGCTCTTTGTGCCCGGTGGTTCCGTTAACTCTTTCGCAGCCTGCGGGGTGAGTGGCCGCGAGTGTCACCCAAGGCGCCTGGCAGCGCGGAACGGGGCAGCGGGCGCCGTCCAGCGGGGGCCAGGTTAACTCCCGCAAGGCCGAGCCCAGGACGCTCGGGCCGCGCCTACCTCGGTCGGTGGAGTCCTGGG